GGGGATGGGGGCAGGAAAGGGGAAGAAAAAGCTGAGGGACATTCTATAAAACAACTGGCCTGTATTCTTCAAAAACGGTGAGGTCTTAAAAAACAAAGAAAAGCTGAGGTGGTTCTATTAAAGAAGACTGAAGAGGCCTGACAGCGAAATGTGAGGCGTGATCCCGGTTTTTTGGGACAACAGAGACGTCGGAAGTGACCGGCTTCCCAGATGACAGCATTGCGCCACTGTCGCTGGCCTGGGTGTGGTAACCGTATTGTGGTTGTGTAAGAGATGCCATTCTTCTTAGGGGACACATGTTGAAATGTTTAAGGGTGAAGGGTCATGACCTATGTAACTTACTCTCAAATTGTTCAGAAAAAATGTGTGTGTGTGTGTGAGAGAGAGAGAGAGAGAGAGAGAGAGAGAGAGAAACATCTATGTGAGAGAGCCACATCAATTGGTTGCCTCCAGCAGGTGCCCTGACGGGGCCAGGGATCAAACCTGCAATTCAGGTATGTGCCCTTGACCAGGAATCGAACCCGTGACCCTTAGGTACATGGCCCGACCCTCTAACCATTGAGCCACCGGCCAGGGCTCTTCTTAACTGCTAGTTACACAAGGACTCACTTTGTAATTTACAAGTATACATGTTACATGTATGTTGTATACACACATGGCAGCTGTAAATGTCCCACCAGGAACCCCACTTTGTATGAGGTGAGCACTGAGCGCCTGGGACCCGCCTCTGTGAGTGGCCGTGACAGTGTCGGGCCTGGCCCGGAGCGGCCTGGGGCCACTGGGAGAAGGGCAGGGGTGGAGCGGGGAGTGGGGAGGGCGGCCGGCACAGCACCCGCGGGATTCGGCCTGGGGCGCCCTCTGGTGGAGGCTGCGGGGAGTAAGGCTGGCGGAAGAGCAGGTCCCTGGTCCCGCCCCCTCCCCTCGCTGCACGGTGGTCCCTGTCATTCATTCCTCTTCCTCCAAACCCCATGACATTCTCCTCGCTGAGCTCACTCACTTCCCAGGGAGCCTTTCCCCACCCAGGCCGCCCAATTCCGACCACTCCTCCCCCACAGGCCTTCCCTGTGGTCGGGACGCAGTTTGCACACACCCTCAGCATCGCGCTGTTTCACGCGTGGCGATGGTGACGGAGACGATGGCTGGTGTTCCTGGGGGCTCCTCCCCGCAGGCGCCGTACTGATGCCTGCGGGCCTCTGAGGGCCCCTCCCTGCAGGCGCTTGGTTCGCCTCTCAGCGTGCGCTTTACCTGTGTACTTACGTGTTATAGCGCTCCTCTCCTCTCTCTGCCCCTGCGGCCTTAACGACACATTAGTGCCCAATGTCCTTTCATAGGCTCCCCTCTTTGAAGGGCCTGGAGCCTCCTGAGTCATCATGAATAGGTAGCATTACTGGGTAAATGGCGTTGGGGGAATTGATAGGCTGTTGTGTGAGTTATGGAGCCATCGCAACATCAGGCCTCGTAACAACAAATGGTATCCCTTCCCTCACTCTGTTCTATTCGTCCTGTTTAAGGCCCTTCATCGGTCCCTGCACCCAAGAACGACACATGGCCCTCACTTTCCCTCGTCTTAGCCCTCTCGTCATAGCCCAGCCTTCTTCTCTTCTGTTACCATCGCTCTCGCCTTGACTCCTCAACAGCCTCTTGTATTTCAGTCCTGAAAACCGTGCTCTCACCGGCCCTCGAGTGACTCACTCTCGTCGCCAAGTGTGCCCCTGGCCAGTCTCCCGTGGAGTGGCATCTGGCTACCCTCCCACTCAGAGTTTCCAGGGTTCTGCTGCCTAAAGACCAGGGACGGATTCTGGAACCCGAGGTGGGAAGGCCCCCGGTGCAGTCCAGGCCCCTCCCTCCCAAATGGGAAAGGAAATAGGGTAAAGGTCCCATAAATGACTCAACACCCCACCAGGCCATAGGCAGACCCTGCCACTCAAACACGTTGATATTCCTGGGCCAGATGTACAGAGGTGTATGTAGGAAGAGAGTGTGAGACGAGTGTAAATTGATGCTCTTCGGGTGGGGTTGAGTGTGCATTTATTAAGCACCTACTCTGTGCCAGTCCCTGAGACTACAGGAAGCAAATGTCAGTGGCCGCTGCTCCCACAGGCTCACAGGCTGGGGCAACAGCCAGGTGTTGGTGATGGGCCCTGAGAGAGGCCACAGAGCATCATGGGAGCCAGTGAGTAGGGGTCTGGAGAGGGAGTGTGGGGGGGGATCCAGTCTAAACAAGATATGCACAGGCCCAGGGCCTGCTGGGAAAAGGCCGCAGGTCAGGAAATCAAAGAGCCAGTCTGAGGGAGTTGGGACAGCGCCTCTGAGAGCTGTCAGAGGCTCCACAGAGGCGGTGGAGGAGGACACGCAGGGCAGGGGTGTGTCTCGAACACCTACAAGGCTGCCCCACCACCCGCAGGAGGAGTGAGTCATGGACTTTATCCTCAAGGAGCTTGGGGACCAGGAGGGTAAGATAAGCACACAGAGCTCTCCAGGAATGAGATAAGGGGCTGATGGGAGAGGCCCACAGGGTGCGGGGAGAGGCGGGAGCAGATCAGGTAGTCAAGGGGGGTGAGGGGCATCTCAGCAGAGGAGATGGGGGCCAGGGATCACTGGGCAGTGTGAGCAGAGCCGCACAGGGTGGGCGTGGGATGGGACACATGACAGTGACATAGAGACCAGAGCAGGGGGCTGCATAGAGTCCACAGCGGGAAGAGGCCCAACCAGCTCTGTGACTTTAGCAAGTTGCTCACCCTCTCTGAGCCTGTGTCCTCACCCCACAACCAGGATCCCAAGAGGCACCTTGCGAAGTGGCTGACATGAGTGCGGGTGGTTGATGTGGGCCAGTGCCCGGCTCAAAGACAGCGCTCAAGAACCATTTCCCGTTAAAGCAATCTGAGCTTTATTCCTAGATCCGGGTTTCCAATTTTTTAATTTTTACTTTAAAAAAATAATTTTTATTGATTTCAGAGAGGAAGGGAGAGGGAGAGGGAGATAGAAACACCAATGATGAGAGAGAATCATTGATCAGCTGCCTCCTGCACGCCCCCTAATGGGGATGGAGCCTGCAACCCAGGCATGTGTCCTGACCAGCAATCAAACCATGACCTCCTGGTTCATAGGTCGAAGTAGACCACTGAGCCATGCTGGCCAGCCAGGCTATTCTGTAATTGTTAAAAGTCTTTCCTAATCCCGAAGTCTCAAATGGAAATCATCTATGAGATTTTCAGACTTACAAA